CGGGTTTGTTTCTATGGAATGAGGGCAATAAGATGTGTATTTGCACTAGTACTTCGTGTTCCTTCAATAGACTTGAATATCGTTAGTAATAGGTGCTTTCTTTACCGGTTTTAAGTTTATTAAAAAAATTAACTTTTGAATCTGTGGAATGCAGTGCTCTAAATTATCCGATTAACCATGTCAATGTGTGCTAACATATAAAGTGTCAATACCAAAGATGAAAGTTCGTCATACAGATACGCAGCAATTAATAGTACATTCTTCATAGAAATGGGACTAATACAGTTAGAAACCGATTGTCACGAAAAGTACTAATTTATTTTTAGAGAAAAATTATTTGTTTTGGCCACAAACGAAGCTCTTTAAAATGGTCGTTAGAAAGCATGCTTCCAACCTGTTAACTTGCAGCTAAAAGGTATTCTATGATATTTAAGTTAAAAAATTGCAAGTCATGATTAGAAATTTTAGGTCATCACTGATAAAGCAAGCGAATATCCATCGATCTTAAAGCTTTGTCTGCTTTACTAGTGCTCCCACCTTTACACAGAGTTTGCCTGTGTAGCCCCGTCCTTCTCAGGTAATCGTTCCTTTTAAAACCACTCCATATAATCTGATTTTATGTATTCGGTTTCAATTCATGTTAGCATTTAACTATTTAACAGACCACCTCAAACCTTCTCTCTCCCTTAGCAATGGCAAAAACTAATTGATAGACACCATGTGGAAGTCCGTCTGAAAAAACTCGAGTCAGCTGAAAGTAATATCTTCAGTAGACGCATTATTTGATGGGAGGCCTAGTTGAGAGTCAGGCATTACTTCAAAGAGGATCTGACACATTAAATTATTGGGACTTGTTTAGAAGTAAACTCTGAAGATGATCCCATGTCCTTAACCAGATTGATAAATTTAATAGAGCGGCCGCCTCTACAAACCATTATCCATCCTCTCTCCTTTCCTTTTCAACCATAGCCTACTTACTACCGATTGTGATAATTCAATTGACCTCGTTTTGATCTCAATACGGGTGTCTCAAAAGTCTTATTTTGTTATAAGTGCGTGAGCACATGATCATGTCAATTGAAGTGTGTTCGTGTTCCTTTACTTCTTATCAGAAGTAGCTGCCTTAACTGGTGACTATTTACCACTAGATTATCTTTCTTAACATCTTCAACTGTTTGGAGAAATTTCATGAATAGTAATTAATAGACAAGTTCAAATATTTCCAAGTATTACCGAGAATCCCATTTATTTCGGCTCATGAGCGGCACTCTAAACATACTTCCAAAGTTATCATATTGAACTTCGACCGACTAATACGAGTCATATCACTTCAATTGATCCAAAGTAGTTCCACTCAATCATGAGGTAAGTGAAAAGTAAAGTAAATTGGCCGCTTGGCAAAATGTACTGTTTCGTTTTAATTCATTTTCAACGCCGTGATTCAGAGCAAACTAGTTAGCACATATTTATGCGATTTCTAGGCATGACCCCTGAGTTTGTACTTGAAATATAAACATGACTATGGGTGGCATGTCGTAAAATTTGGTGAGGACTACTGAACTAGAATTGAAGCCTTTTAAATCACTTTGAGTGCCGTTGTACAAAGTATTTGAAGAAAGCTGCAGCTCATCGGCTAAGTATTATCTCTCATAATGAGGTCAACTAATGCTTCACTTATCGGACATTGAGAACGCGAGTGGGCATGATTTAGTAAACAGACCCAGAAGTCATGCTTATTGGAGGTGAATTCTATAAACACAAAGCTGCCAAATACGAAGTGGCCATTTTCTTGGACAGTCAACGTAATGAAAGTGGGATCGAGGGTGACGAAATTCAGTCCATGCGTTTCGTATTAAGCTGACGGGTGGTGCTGATGTCGCGACTGGACATTTCCAGATATAGCTGCACTCTAAATGCCAAACGTCTATAGCCGCAATTAATAAATCAAAGTGGCTGGCCTGATTGGATATCTTGCTTTGCTGAAGTTGAATAAGCGATAAATAACTTGGCTTGGCAAGACTAGACCTGTCTGATGTGGCTGGGCTCTTGACGCAGTCAACCAGTTTATGATATGGGAAATGGTGCCAAGATGAAATAATCAAAACAATTAAGTGCATTAGATTAGCGGAACATTATGAGGCTATAATTAGCTCTGGAGAGCTGGTAAGTCCCTGAGATTCTATTTGAGAATGCGTGAAATGTGACTGAAACATTATTCATCCTTTCGCTCCGAATGTATAGTGCGCTTGTTCAATTGTTTATAATATTGATAGAGGCTTTAACATCATGCATAGAATTGCCGTTATTCACTTAACCGTGCCACAATTTCAAACTGAGTTAAATTTGCTTACTTCAAGTTAAATTTCTCCGATACGTGGGGAGCATAACCTTTTCAAATAGTTTATCGTCTACCGACAGTAAAATACTCACTTCTCCGTACTCATTAATCCTCGTCAATTAGATATGTGCAAATTGAGTTCTACTCATTCGCGTTGCCACAAAGTACCACTGCATACTGGTGGGGCTAATATTGAGAGGCATAGAACGCCATTTTATTAGTTCATGAAAATGACCGCATATACTGATGTAAATGTTATTTTTTTGGATAAAACACGTATAATATTACAAAGGTAAATTCGAGTTATTATGTCCTCAATGATCATTTACGAATATTTATTTTAACTTTCAACTTCGGTAAAGGGTGAATTAGCAGAGTGTCCCAGGTAAGGGATCCGATTCCCCCATTCTGTGTTGAATCCGGACTTAGCTAGTGAGTTTGGGGATTCCACTGATGATCCGTGGACCAATGGGAATTGAATCCACAAATCTTACTCCACCAACACACGCACACACGGACTAAAATGTAATTATGCTCTTCTCTGATTCCTCTTATTATTTAGCTTAATTTCGTTTACAATTTTGAACGTGTTCATTAAGTTCATTGAGTTGTAAAGAAAGCAATACAAATGAATTGTCTTCATCGCATTGCTGGTAAGCTGTTGGAAGTGAAGCGAATTTAATTGTCACCCATTTTTTAATGCTTCCGTGTTTTTGTGCTACTTGTAAATAAGTCAAAGAATTGGACAAGTTTAAAAGGCAAAAACACTAAAACTTGGAAGAATGAAATACGAATTCTATAGGGTAGTTTTGCATTAGCATTAGATGGAAGAGTGCTTGCTTGAAAGCTTTCCTTTTAGACAAATTGATATGCACTTTCGAGGGCTCTAGATGAATCTTTTATAATCTGCAAAATGTACAATAATGCATAGGCCAATGAATGGTGGTCTTTGATCTTAACAACGACATTTCGCAATTTTTTTCACTAATTGTTTTCAAAACAGAGCGTCAATCAAGTAGACTGGATTGAAATATCTGAAGGTATGATGACTCTTGAGACAAAGAAGAAACACATTAAATTCTATTGCAAGTAAATCTAGGATTTGAGGCCACTATCTCAAAACTGCCATCTTTGGATTCTCTCAGTAATTTTAATAGTGAAAGGAAGTCGTCCCAGTTTTTAATACGTTCAAGACAAAAATCAATAAGGAAATCAAATTTAAATTCGCTAAATACCTCCGATCAATTTAATGAACCATCAACAGGGTCATAAGTGCACCTAATATCTTCATGTCCACAAACCCCACTGAAATTCAGACTACCGACCCACTTACCCCTTATTTAACCGCCCGCCTACATTCTGAATCACCTTGAACTTGTACGTACGTGTTGAAAACTTTGTTCCTACCATAGTCCTCTTCGTCAACGCGCGTGTTTGTATACGCTTTAATGATGCGGAAACTGAAAGTCAAACATATTCTGCGTGAATAAGATTTATTGGCATGACGTTCTGAGGACATGCCTTCGATACCGGTTAAAGATAGGACTGTTTTGACCTATAAATAGAACACTTACCTTAACAAATACCACTCAGAAACAGTTATTATTGATTAATAAATGGATAAAAGTTACTTTTAATTGGATCGATTAATAGAAAATCAATTATTCTGGTCATGTCGAGCTTTGCTTTCAGTTACCACCTTGAGCGACTCTATTGTTTTCCTTCAAATTCGCCCACGATTATTTTTATTATTGCATCAAATATTTGCAGGAATTGCATTTCAACGACATCAGTACAAGCAGAACAGAAACGACAGCCTTTCTTTGCATTCTTTGAAGCCCAAATAGGGAAATTCGGAGGGAATCACTTTTAGGTCCCTTACTTTCCATGGATCAAATCTTTTATTTTTTGTTTGGCTTTAGCATTTAGATTTTACATTGGCTGTGGACACATAGTAGTTGTTTGATAAGTGATTTATCTTTCTAAATCTACTCTGGGCGAAGGAATTTGGGTATTGGTTATCAGATCACTACAATAAGAGGATTAGAAACAAGATTTTAAGAAATACAAGGCTTGTGATAAGTAAAGGTTACATTTGAAAAATAAGCAAAATTTCAATGCATTGGTAGATCCTGGATGAGACCTGACGTTAATAATCTCGGCTAAAGTTGAAACATGAACAAAAAATAAAGGCGAATGATGACCAAAGCTGATAAGTAGAACGTACTTTCTAATAAGAATGACGGACAGGGTTTAATAAGACACACCAAGCTGAAATATTAGGACCAATGAAAAGCGATCACCTGATTGTGACCAGTTTGCTAATTGGCTAGGTGCGAATAACTAATGGACCACCACAGCACTGCCGCCCATAAAAGAGACTTTGCCAGAAGCACAAACTTATTTCATGTGGGTTTAACGCAGTAAGCGCAGTAGCAGCAGCCGATTACCCAATCATCCAAAAACCTATTCTTCCTTCTTCAGCCAACCTTCCTCTGCGCAGCCATATCTATATATACATATATAAGATAAATAAACAAACACTCCAACCAAAAAGACACCGATTACAGGGTAGATAAATCTCAAAAGTGATCTCAAATTTCGTGAATGTATTTTTTCTTCGATCGCACTAAAATCATCGAAAGTAGAGTGTACTTTCTCAATGGCAAAGCTTCAGATCGTCGTCCTCTTTTCCATTGCTGTCTTTCTAACAATGCTTGTCGAAAGCATAATCGCCCTTCCCCATGACTTGGTAAGCCAAATAAACCTCGACTTGTGCATTTTACTTATTTTTTTGAAAAGTTACAAGACTGCACAAAAAATTTTAGGAACATGGATTGGTGATTAATCGCCGTCCGGAGATCTACTTCGATGCAAATGTCGTAGATAAAGCCTATCGACTCTGCTGGATGGAAATTCAGAAGGACATTCTTACGGGCAGAACAAAAAGATCTGGCTACCCAAAGTGGTATCCCTTATCTGGCGGTCGTCGCTACTTCTTGCCCCATTCAGAAAGACAAAAACTCTCCATAGGAGAAAAATGTCTTCTTATGAGGGGTATTGAAGTAGTTCGACACCAAGAGAGGATGATGAACAAGAAGCTTTTTGGCATAAAAAGAGGACCTGTCGATGCTTAATTGTCAATTGCCAATTCCCAAATAACAAAGACCTCCTCTTCCCCATTTCTCCACCCTCCTTTATTATTTATGTGTGCGTATGTTTGTTTGTACATAGCTCTTCCTCCTTCTCACTCTCCCTCCCTCTGTGTATTCTCCATCTGTACATATCAAACAAGCATACTCAGTCGGTTACTTTAAAGGCGAGCCTAAATGCACTCTCTTACACCTAGAGATCTCGGCCTATATTGTACAAATGCCGACGATCTCTATATATCTGCTATAAGTGAGAGCCCAATGCTCAGTGTAAACAAATAAAATCACCCCATTGGCTGAAAGGAACTCGAAAATGAAAACGACCTCTTCAATCTTTGTTAATTCTGGAATATAGCCCTAAAGGAATAATTTCTAGTTTTCAGGCTTTAATTAAGGTTCGCATCTGGGTTGCGACATAGTTTCATTAATAAGTGAGCTTAAAGCGATTCAGAATGTGCCAATTAAATATATTTAATATTGCATTGCTATTTACTTTGCATTTCGAATAGTAAAAGAAACAAAAAAAAATATCATGCTGAATTACCGGCACGTCCGAGGAGTTCTAATAGCTTGAGAGGCCGAAAGAATGTGAAAAATTTTAAAAATAATATATTTATAACGCTTTTCAAATTCAAAGGGTAGCCAATGAGTGCTGAGAAAAATAAAGTGACGTGCCGGTTACTCTTTTTGGACCAATTAACGAGTAGCAGGGTAGCAATTAATGAGATATGCGATTGTAACTAACTGTACAATTCAATGCTCTAAAGGTGAATAAATGGTACAATTGTGCAAGTAAGGCTGGTGAAAATGTGAATGCGTTTCACAAACTCATTCAAAACTCACTATATTCGAGTTTTAGAACTACTAGTTATGTTTCAATTTTTTACCAAAGGGCAGAGCTCTGCTATTGTTCCAAAGTTCACATTTTTAGAAGTTGTTCCCTAGGTTTCTCCATCATTCTATTCACTTTGAATTATACTTGGAACAGGATTTCGGTCTTTCACACCACTTCAAAGTTAATTGAGAAATTAAAATCATCTAGGCTGTCTAGTTCAATTATTTTAGTTTAAGTTATGATTGAATACAGTCAAAGCTATTCTTCATAGAAAAGAGGCCGAATTTTGTTTGTTTGGCAAAATTAACTTTCCTCACCCAAAATACTAATTTCGCCTTGAGCGAACACAGCTTAAGGAGATCTGCTAACCTAATATTTTCAATAACCCTCCCCGGCTACCTTCAAATTAGATGGTATATGGGAAAATTTTGTCCTCTGGACCATTAGAAGAAAAAACGATACTAAGCTACAAGGCAGACACCTTCTTTTCAAAATTATATACACTAATAAATATTGGCCATAGTTGACAAACAATTGGTTGCTATCAGGAAAGGAAGGATGATACTTGAGTTTTTGGAAAGCGAACTGCCAAATTTGTAAACATTGCTCAAAAATAAACTCAAGTCAGGTACTTGACCACCTTGACCTTGCTACCAGTACCATATCAACCACTTCTGCCTCCGCCCTGGTCATTTAAAGGGTTTTCATTTAGCCAATTCCAATTACTTCACAAAATTAAAAATAGAACCTATTGTATTACTATGGTTAAAATAGTAAAATAATAAAGAGTAAACGATACCTAAACTCAGAGTAAATCATCACCCAATCTTCCAAACTTGATCAAATTAGGTGAGCAGTTTACCATCTCAAGTTGGAGAATATTTTGTGATTGGGAAAACACAACTGTCTCAAACCAAAACAAAATCAGGTCGGAAATATGATAGTTAATGAGGGAAAATCATATCTATCATATGACATGGATTTGAAAATCATACTGGCCTACTCAATGCGTACAATTTAATGAAATGGACTTTCAGAAATGGGCATCCGGAATAGGAATCACTGCCTGTAAATTTAATAAAAATGAGTCGTCCGAATAATATTTTATAGTTAATTCAAATTTGTCTTCAAGTGTAAAATTAAAATGACACACTACGTTTAGCCTCGCACAATAATAATGGGTTGGTATACACTAGTTCCGGATGTAGGGAAGGAAACTAGGATGATCAAAATACTTATTAAATGAATGCTTGTATAAATTCAGTTCAATGAATAGTATGTTATTCTTCATCAAACAGATGACGGATCTATATATATATATATATATATATAGATAGATAGATAGATAGATAGATAGAGAGAGAGAGAGAGACAAGAATGTCCCCTTTTGAATTCTATCGCTACTGCCACGAATTTGATAGGTAAATCGCAGCAAGAAAGCGCTGTATTGAAATAATCAGATATAAAATTATATAAAATAATGGAACAATGCAATTTACCCAATATCATCAACATTTCTCGTTGTTCTAAATATGTACTGAAAATACATTTTCCTGATTTTATCAACAAGAATTGTTAATTTTAACGTTGAGTTTCCCCGATCATTCAATTGAAACTAATGTGAATTTTATTCTCATAGGTACGATAATCCACCTCCCAGTGCGAGAAAACTCTAAAAAGCATTCATTTTGTCTCTTTGCAGCAACTTCACATAAACATTCTAGTCAGAAAAGTAGCCTCTTTGTTTTCAAACTAGGCCAGTACCCATGGAAATTAGAGCAAGTGGATCCTGAACTAGCCGAGAGATTTGGAAATGCGCTGATTTATTGCATACATAAAAAAACAGACTACCATTTTACTATTTCATACAGGAACATTTAAGAGGGTAAGGGTGTTAAGATTTGTAGTTTATTTTGGTCTTTTGTTTGCTTCCGAGTACCTGATGTTACCGACCAACAGGATACGATACATAGTGCTTAATTATATCCTTCATTCATCACTTAAAAAGGTAGATGAAGAAATAGTACATTTTGAACTCAGTAGAGGGTGCTAGACGAGGCTGTTATTAGGAAAAGGGCATATATGGAATCAATTGAAATTGAAAGTATGGTGCCGAATTGAAAATTATATTTACTTGTTTGTGAAACAAGCGCGGGTGGCAGAATTCTTTCGACTTAGTGGTTACAAAGAAAAAAGAAAGGATTTAACCTTCAGGATTGTCGTATAAAAAACTTCGTTTCTTGGAATTCAGAGAAAATTTAACTAGAACTGAGCTTTCAAGTCAAGAGTATAAGAAGTTGAGAAAATGTCGATCTTAATATTTCAGTTCCTTGTCCTCTTTCGAATTTATTCATTCACAGAAGTAGTTTCCACTCAAGTGGACAATATTTAGAAGAGTTTCAAATGATCTGAGCGTTAGTTGGTATAGCTAGCAGGATTATTAATGAAGTACCCCTTCAAATTTACTTCGGTTTAATTTAAGCAAGCATTTCTTCCTCTAATAATCCTGAGATGCAGATAAACTTGTTTTGATTCCAATTAAGTTGGTTTTGCAATCTGTGAACGCTTAAATCAGAGCTCATCACCATGAATAGAAATATACTTGATTGACTAACACCCCGGCCCATTTGGTGTGGACCCCCACGAAAAGTTATTATTTCAGGAAAAGTAGAACAGACCTTTAAATTCGAGCGCATGTTAATCCGTGAACGAATTAATAAATAATAGTGGAAGTAGAAATGAACAAACTCTCCGAATTCAGGGATAAATGGCATAGGATCCGAAAGATAGCAAATTTCAATTTCCATAGCCCGGCCCCTTGCGGAAAATTCAAAAATAAAACTGGTTTAGATGTATTCCAAAAAGAAAATATCTATCTTATGATTATGCTATAGGAAAGATAATCATTCCTGTAGACAAACTCCTAATTTACTTAGTTTAGATTTTATAAACGAATCAATTTAGAAATTGTGCCCTTTGCACAATTGCATCTCTACTTGGTAATGCTAAGTTTCGCTTTTTCCTACCTATGAATCATTTGCTTGCTAAATTGGAATGGAAACTGGTACACTTGTATGTACTTTTTAAGCGGAAGATGAATTGCCGAAAACTGTTCGAAACGGTTGGATCTGAATTGTCTACTTTACACGATTTAAGGACAAGGTTTTTAACAAAATACGCCAACTGTTGTTCCTCAACCAAGGGGCAAATTTATCATGCCGTAGAAGTCATCGAAAGTAGGTGGCTTTGAATTTGAACTTTTGTTTTAGCCTCGAACGTTATTAACTTCCGCAATTTCTGCATGAACAAAAAAAGTTTTCCTTTTCGGATATAAATGTTGATGCTTTAGACTTTGGTGGATTAAACTGAAGCAAGTGGAAAAATGTCTGGTATGGACAGTGCAGAAAGAAAACAAATATTTATTCATTTCAAGTGGCAGCGGTTTTGATAGTTATCATTAGCTGACTTTGGACTTCACAGAAGGGAGGAATATCATAGTGAAAAAAAATTCGTGAGGGAGGAAAGAAGAGTGATTCACAGATGTAAAGAGACAGATAGACACAAATGCAGAAAAAAGGTAAGACGAGTACTGTTGAAGTGGTCAAATTTGATCTACAGTGGGGGGTGATGGTAGTTTGAAGTCAGACGTCAACTGCCGAGTAATTGACTTTTTTGTTGTATGAGTATACGTTGCCCAAAGTGCAAGGTATAGATTGGTTTAATATATTAACTGCCGATTTCGCCATAAAATTTTTTTGACCAGCAAAGGTAGTTTTAACTATAACTTCTAAATTAATGCCCAAAACGCATTTAGAAGCAAGGATTTTTGACTTAAGACTGCCTGTAGTCGGATAAAATCAATCAAATAGAAATGAATGATGGATAATCAATAGGGGGGGGGGGG